TTGAACAGAGTGAGAGGAGGATGGGGAGGGAATTTAAGCTTTGGGAACAGAGATGTAAAAAAACCCAAGAAGTCCAGGGAGTAGTGCAGGATGTGTTTTCGGAAGTGCTCCAGTGTGGTTCGGCCGTGGAGCACTTGGAAGGAAGTGGCAGGAGAAGAGTTTGGAAAGGTGGTTGGAGCCAAAGACTCCTCATGTGTAGTGTCAAAAAAGGTATCATTTTTTAATCATGTGTCATTGAAGGGCTGTAACAGCAGAGCACAATGATAATACTTACATTTTGAAAGTACGTTCTGATAGAAATAGAGTTTTAAGACTTCACCTAGAGAGTACTTAAAAAAACAGATTTCTGGGCCCCACACAGAGCCAACACAGTAAGATTCTTTGATGAGCTTGGCCCAGGAATGAGTATTATATAAATACTTCAGATGATTTCCTTTTTTTCCAACTTTATTGAGATATAATTGACCTATAATATTGTGTGAATTTTGGGTCTACAACATGATGGTTTGGATATACTTATATTGTGAAATGATTACCACAGTGGGGTTAACACCTCCATTACCTCACATAATTATCATTGTGTGTGTATGTGTGTGGTGAGAACATTTAAGATCTACTCTCTTACCAATTTTCAGGTATATAATACAGTATTTTTAACTATAGTCATCATGCTGTACATTAGATCCCCAAAACTTATTCACCTTATAACTGAAAGTTTATTCCATTTGACCAACATCTCCCTATTTCCCCACCACCAGCACGTGGCAACCACCATTCTAGTCTACGTTTCTATGAGTTCGACTTTTTTAACATCTACATATAAGACATCATACAGTATTTTTCTTTCTCTGCCTGACTTCTTTCCCTAGCATAATGCTCTCATAGCATTTGCCTGTGTCATCACAGAAGGCAAGATGTCCTTCTTTTTTATGGATGAGTAATGTTCTGGTGTGTGTGTGTGTGTGTGTGTGTGTGTGTGTGTATCCACCACATTTTCTTTATCCATTCATCTTTTGTTGGACACTTAGGTTCTTTCCATGTCTTCGCTGATGCCAGTATTATTGCAGTGAACATAGGTTTGCAGATATGTCTTCAAGGTAGTGGTGATTTCCTCTGCTGCAGGGCAACTGTCTGAAACCTGTGTTTATACATATTTATTTTTATATTTATTTTAAGGGAGAATAGAAGTGATGAGATCTGAGATGCTGAGAGCCCCCATTAGGGAGCTGTCAGGGTCCAGAGGAGAAGCAATGAGGACTTGAACTGGAGCAGTGGCAATGAGGATGGAGAGGAGGGGACAGATCGAGAACCGCTTCTGAAATAGAAGTGTTGGTAGGATGTTGAAGGCCCTTTGGGTATGGGGGTGAGGAAGGAGCCTGAAGATGACTTGAAGGTACCACTCTGGGTGGCAGTGTGGTGGTGATGATGTGAACCAGGTGGGAATACAGGAGGAATGATAGGCAGAGATTTGGATGCCTGTGTATTGGAAGGTTGATTAGAGGGGTTGCCAGAGGCAATAATGAATTTATTTTAGGGTATCCAATCAAATTTTCCTATTTTTACCAATGAGGAAACTGAGGCTCAGAGTGGTAAAGTGATTAATCTCAGGTTACAAAGCTAGCTGGTTAATAGAAAACCAGACATACTTCCTCTTGTTTTTATGCCTGTCTAGAAGATTCACTGCTTGGTTAAGTGCACTGAGAGCATCTGTATAGTACTAATTATCAAATGAAAATATCATTAAATACACATTATGCTGTGTTGCTTGTATGTATTTTTAGCCAAGTCCATGACACAAATGGGTCAATTTCAGGCAGTTGGGACAGAGGGCCAAGTGTTGATCTCAGAACAACTTCATTTTACTGAGTCTCAGGGAGAGCAATACATTTGTCTAAGGCTGGCCAGTGATTAAAATTGAGAAATACATTTGTTTAAGGTGACCAGTGATTAAAATTAAGACCTGTGTTTTCTGACCCAATCTAGTTACTGCCTTCTGCAGTGAGGTTATCCAAATTGTGACTGCAGCCATTGTCCTTCTTGATTCAGTTGATTGCCACTTAATACCACTCGAAGGTGGAAGCTGAATCATGAGCCACATGCACGTGGCTGTGTGTTTAGAGAGTAAGAGAGGCAGGCGCCTACATGGCGAACCCCAGGGTCATTTCCAGGGCATGCGTCCAGTATGACACTCTTAGTTTAGAAGTTCCTCAAGTACAAAAGACTACATTTGCAGCACAGAACACAGAGCCTGGGCCATATTCACTGCTTGATAAATGTATAGTAAATGAGCGATCTAGCCTCAAGGGTGATTTTTGACCTATGGTCTATCTTTTTTTATTACAGTAAATTACCTATGATAAATTCATCAGGTCTCTACTTTGCCCATATGTAGGCACTCACTAAAAATCACATGGTTCTCATTCTTTTAATAAGAAACAGCAGAGAGGGCTGTCAGCTGACAGGATGGACAGGATAAAATGTGTGCTAGAAATGCCCTGGTCTGAATGTGACCTCTGGCTGGAATGCCCAAAATACAAATGTTCCAAGTCTGTTGGCCCAGTGACCTCAATAAACAAAGGTCTTTTTTTTTCTAGAAACACACTTTTTTATTCCTTGTTTCTCATCTGACACACACACTCTCACAAACTCAAACGTACACACCCATTTTCTTTTTTAAATTCTCATGCATGTCTTAAACCTATGTATATTGCTTTTTTGCATAGTCTTGAAAATGACCTTTTGCCATATTTTTGAAATGTAAAATCTTTCTTTTTGAGGGCTGCCTCACTCTGCTATGAAAACCTCTGGACAAGTAGATTATTGAATAACCCATGACTTCCCTTCATCTGATTAGTTCCCTGAAAGGGATCATAAGACATCCTTACAAAGCCTAGAGGCCTTCCGAGTCCTGAATGATCACAGAGAGTTCCCTCCTGCCCACCCCATATTCCTGAAATGTCATGGCCACACCACCCTGAATGGTATCAAAGGAGATCACTGTTTTGCATCAGAACACAAAGAAGAAAGAAAAGAAATTTTAAACTCATTAACTCCTTTGGGGAGAAGGCAAGTTTACCTGTGGGCTGTGTTTCATGTGAAGAGTATTATACTCCTTTCTTTCATTGACTGGATGACTGTAAAAATAAAATAAAAAATGGTTCTGTGATATAACCCACGTAAGAAATGTTTTAAGATCATCATGCGCTGACTCTCACAGAGCCACTGAGCACACAGGCTTACACATGAGGATGGAGCCGTTACCTTCATCCACTTTCCCTTAGTGCTTGTGGCTTATGGACCATTTTCTCTTACAATCTGCAATGCTAATGCCAATATGAACATAACAACCTAGGAAAGAGTTTGGTAGCTTGAATAAAAACTCAGCATCATGAAACCTTGAGCTCCAAGGTAAGTGTCCAGTGTTCTCAGAGGTATCTTGACCTGTATGTTCTTAGATACATGTCAGTGTCAGCATTTTAATTGTTTTTAAGATATGTTGACTAATTGAATACATATCTGACTTTGTTTTAATTTATTTAACTTTATACGACTCTGAACATAAATTCTCAAATCAAAATAAAACTCCTTTGTCTGATCATATACCTCTGGAGGTTTTTGGTTCAGAAAATATAAACCCAGTTTTCATTAGTCCCTGTGTTCAGCAGCTACTGGTGGACAGAGTGGCAAGCAATTGGATTTTGTTCATTTTTGTTAATCAGCTGAAATACTTGTAATTTCTTGTTGTAAACTCTGGTCTGGAACTATGGTTTTACTATCTGTATCATATTATATTTTATAATTTTTAACATGCTGGAGAAAAAGGGGGAAAACTTAAGTACTAGCTAGTTTCAATGTACCGTGCTGGGTGTTTTACACATGTTAATTCATTTCATTCTTATGACAGCCTTTTGAGGCGCATATTATTATTGCCATTTTGCCCATGAGGAAGGCTAAACTTAGAGTGTTTAATAAACTTGTGAAAATTCACTTAGAAAATTAAGAAGCAGAGCAAAATTTATTCCAGCTGATTGTTCTAAAAAAGACCAAACCTCTTTCTTATTTAGGACTGGCATCAACACGTAAATATCTGTTATCTGTTCAATTGAGTTGAATGGGACACTCCTGGTATGAAAGCCTGGAGGACAGCTAGTACAAGACTATGGTTTATTAGTTTAGAATATTCAGTATTGATAAATGACTGGACTCTGTATTCAAAATCTCAGAATTGAATTCCAACTTCCAAAGTTTATTAATCTGTGTAATTTTAACAAGTTATTTAGCCTCACTAAGTCTCAATTTTCTCACTTTAAAGTGGGAACAGTAATTGTACCTTTATGATCATTTATGTAAATTACATTTCTGATGGTTAGTAAAGACACAATAAATGCTAGGTCTTACGATTATCCTTAATTAGAGATGACTGTGGCTACCTTTTAAATATACTACATTATTTATTATGTTTATCACTATAATGTATCACCCCACTAAAATGTAATCTCCACGATGACAGGGATTTTCATGTTTTCATCATTGTATCCCATGTATTAATCTCATGTATTGAGAACAGTGTTGTCCAATAGGATATTCTGTGATGATAGAAATGTTAGGTATAGGAGTTGTGTGATGCTGTAGCCACTACCCACATGTGGTTGTTGAACACTTAAAATGTAGCTAACTAGCATGACTGATTTTAAATTTTAATTAGTTTTAATTAAACTTAAGGAGCCATATGTGGCTACTGGGATACTATATTAGCACAGTTCTAGAACATAACATGGTACACAGAAGTTTCAATTAAATACTTGTTAAGTGAGTGAATCCCCTCTAGAGTCAAAGATCAAGAACAAAGCTGTATGATTGCGTATTTAGCTCCTTCCTTAAAGATAAGCAATGAAGCACTTTATTAAGTGATCAGCTCTTACCGTAGGCCTCATAAGGTCGCAATATATTTGTTTTATAACTGCAATACGTTTTCGATTTCTGTTTCTTTTCGGTGATAGGTCAAGAAAGATTTGGAAACATGACAAGGGTCTATTACCGAGAAGCCATGGGTGCATTCATTGTCTTCGATGTCACCAGGCCAGCTACATTTGAAGCAGTGACAAAGTGGAAAAATGATTTGGACTCCAAGTTAAGTCTCCCTAATGGCAAACCGGTTTCCGTGGTTTTGTTGGCCAACAAATGTGACCAGGGGAAGGATATGCTCATGAACAATGGCCTCAAGATGGACCAGTTCTGCAAGGAGCATGGCTTCGTAGGATGGTTTGAAACATCAGCAAAGGTAATGTCACCTTAAATGATAAACTTATTGTAGGCAAGACTCACAAAGAAAATGGCATGTAATCATCATCACGATAATAATATGTGTTTGTCTCATGATTTATAGTTCCCAAACTGCTTTAAGTACTTTCTCACCTCAAGCGGTGAGATGGGCGGGGCAGGAACTGTTATCCTCAATTTAAGATGATTGTGGCTAAGGGAGCGAAGCATCCTGTACATCATCCTGTTGATAATAGTTAATAAGTGTTTTCGTTTATTGAGTGCTTCTGTGTCAGGCATGTTTTACAAGCTTTTTCTGATTTAATCCTCTTAACAACCCTATTAGGTAAGTATGATTTTAGAATAAATGAAAGAAATGGGCCACACATTCAGTGTTTCTGCCTTATTCATGTATTTGTTAATTGACTCCATCAACATATGATATGTTCTTCTGTACCAAGAATTGTGCTGTGCCCTAGAAATGAAAAGATGGCGGGAACACAGACTGCGACATTGGCAATACTAGGGTAGTGGAGCGAGAGTAGACAGCAGGTATATATGTGAAGACCATGTGTGGCTTGGCTCTGGTCACTCTCTTGGGTGGCTGAGGGGAAACGGGAAACGGGGAGTGGGGCAGAGCCAGAGCTGGAAGGTGAAGGCTCTGTGGGTGACGAGCGTGTTGTACCTCCCATTAAACCCCGCTGCTCTCTGATTTGTCAGGTATATGATTCTTGCTCTGCTCCCTTTTGTTTTTGTTTGTTTTTTTTGTATCTCATCAGAGGAGGGAAAAAACTTTAATGGTAATTTTGAAAGTTAAAAAAATGCATAAATATAAATAAATGTTTTGCTGTATTTTTCTGATATTTTCTGTATGCGTAGATGTGTGTGTTTTACATTATTAGGACTGCATTCTACAGTTTTATATCATGATTTTTTCCATTTTTATTTATTTGTGGAATGGGTATTAAGTACTTGTGGAGCGCAGGCACAAGCTAGTTATTTGAGGTTCAGCTATCAATAAAGATAGGCATTGTCTTTGTACAATTTCTAATTATGGAATTCACACTTAGGCAAAAATTGTGAATATTTGTGTGCATTATCAGAGAATGGTTTGAAAATATAACTTGAATGGACATCATTCTGATAGGTTGAGGGGGGACCTCTGACTGGTTTTACACTGGAGAGTAGAATAGTCAGATTTGCCCTGGAGGCTAGGGAAAGATAGATTCCAGGAGGGTAAACCTGGAGACAGAGCGGCATGGTCATTATTTCATTGCTATGGGAAAACCACAAGCCTCTGAACCAAGCTAATGGCTTTGGGGATGGAAAGGAAAACCTGATTTGAGAATATTACTCAAGTGGAAACAGTAGGATCAAGCAGCTGCTTGGATTGGGAGACAATGGAGACGGGGGTGACACTTTCTGTCCTAGTTGGGATTATTTTTGTTTCCACCATTTCAGGCCACGCCTCAGTTCCTACCTTCTCTCTGTGCTGTCTCTAGCTGGACCTACGTTTAGAAGTTACTTCCCAGTTCCTCGTTTTCCTTCTGAGGGTCTCAGTGCATGTTTCCCCTTTCTTTCCTGTTAAAATTCCTTGTTTCTCTATTTTTTAGGCTGTTTCCTTTTATTTAAGACACAGTATATTTATCATTTTCTGCATCCTGGTTGTCACTGAACCTTTTTGGTTTGCTTGTTTAAAGAATTAATTTTTGTAAAGAGAGACAGGTAGAGCAAAACTCACAGGTGTGATTAAGTTGCAGAAATTTAAGAAAATATTACATTTTGTATGGTCTGATTTTTGGACGTTAGACTGGCTTTTTAAAAAATTCTCCTATCTCTTAGCCGCACCCTCAACTTTACTCCACAGCTCCTGTGTAGTCCTTCAAATTCCTTTCTTTCTCTAGAGTCCCTTTTCAGCCCGGAAGTAGGATTTTGGAGGACCCTTTTTCTCAATTGGTTACTTTATATCTGAAGGGAAAACTAAATGAATGACTTGAATTTAAAGAGGGAGGGGAATCTTCCATTATTTATTCATTAAACAGAAATGATTGAGCACTTGTGATATAGCGGGGACTAGGAACAGAGGTATTTACAAAACTGACTTCATGTATAATCATAACAACAACGAAACATAGGTAAAATATATGGGGTGATGGATAGTGAATAAGTGCTAGCAAGAAAAAAAGAAAAGAAAGGAAGAAGCCTGTGGGTTTGTGGGGGGGGGTTGAAATTGCCTGTGGGACTGAGGCTGCCTGGACATCTCCCCCCACGCTGACCATTGCTGTGCTGAACTCTGCTCAGGGTCATTATGCTCATTAACTTAAGGCCCCGCTGACCCTCCATCCTGGATTTCTATATAATCCTCTAAATCTCTGCAAATGTAAACTTGGATGAGAAACTTTGTGCAGAGATAGAGTGGAGGGGGTTCCACAAGCCTAAAGCGCACTCAGCTGTTAACAGAAGCAAAAGGATACAGGCCTCATTGTAAAAGGCAGAACCTGCAGCCAACATTTCCCTTTCCCCAGACATGCTGCCATTGGAGCTGCCCTTCTGAAGATCTAACTAGTGAAAGCGGCTCCCCAGTGCCAGGTTGGTGTTCACAGCGGACGCCTGGAAGCTCAGGGGTGATACGGCAGCATTGGCCTGCTGGAGTGTCCGCGTTCAGAACGGCCTTTTTTAAAGCATCTCACAAAGCTCTGCCTACTTTCTGAGGATAGTGTTACTGCATTTACAAAACGGAGGCCCAGGTCACACTGTTGGCCTGAAACAGATGGCATTTGGAGACAGCTACCGATTCATTCTTTGATTACAGTTGGGGTCAGGAACATTTGCCATAGAGACCTTTCTCTTAGAAAGTGAATCTGCTAACAGTTAGAGTCCTTGAATGACGTCATAGGCAGTCTGATGATAAACATCTGATTTCCTTTTTTCTGCCTCTGAAATGTCTAACAAGCCAAAGGCAGAAATCCTGTGTGTATCACCCTCGCCTTTTCCGTCTCTGGAGCTGAAACTAGCAGGGTGAGTTTGTCATTGAGACCAGCCTCCATCTTACCGCTGACCCCATCGCCCAGGCAAATTGACCCTCTTGCTCTTCAACCTTCTGGAGGAACTTTCCATGAGAGCCTTCATGCCCTGTGCTGTTGCTGGAACAATCCTGGTAGCTTCTGTCTGTGAACTGAGAGAGAAGAAAGGAAAATTAAATATATGCTAGCATCTCTGATTTTTTACTTCATGTCTTCCAATATTAAAACCAAAGGAAAGAGCCCTGGCCAGCATGGTGCAGTGGTTAGTGTCAGCCTGCACACTGGAGGGTCTTGGCTTCAATTCCAGGTCAAGGGCACGTACCTGGGTTGCAGGTTTGATCCCCATTTGGGGCGTGTGCGGGAGGCAACTGATGGGTGTTTCTCTTTCTCTCTCTTTGTTCCTCTCTCTCTAAAAATCAATAAAAACATATCATCAGGTAAGGATTAAAAAAAATTGTCATGGTCACCCTATAGATCAGGAGCTCCAATACATTACTCTGTCCACATCACACCTGAGCTCTACTAATGGCTATTTTATGCATCCTTATGCCCAAGCCCAGTCTTTACAATACGCTTCGGTAGATTTGTCTCTTTAGAATGAGAGCCTGGCCTGCCTTTGTCAGTGCATCCCCAAAGTTGTGATTCCTGTCTTATGGGCCCATCTCAGTGACTGATGGGGCTCCGCTATCTGCTGACCCATTTACCTGCTGCATTCTTGGTGCTCATTGCTGGAATCTCTACCAGCTGCTCCTTTTAGATTCACTCTGACTGTAGCCACCCACCTCCTAGGGTTGCTTTGAGCAAGAAGTGACATAATATATATGGTGTCCCTGGATGTGTTATGTTTGATCCCACACAGACACGCACCTTCATCATCACTGTCATCCCTATTATGTGTTTCCACAGCCCACCCGCTGGCCTGGGTGTCACCATCTGTGTGTGGCTCTGAGGTGCACAGCACCTGCACTCGGCACAAGGGTCTGTTTCTGTATATCAGCCCTTTCCAGGTTGCTCCATCCAGCTCTTCTGATGCAGTGATTGGTGTGTGACTGTGTTCAGGAACAGGACACCAGGAGAACACCAGTGTAGATGGGAAATAACGGAACAAGCATTATTCGTCCTCTTGTGGGTCAGGAACCAAACTCACAGAAAGAAAAACTCCCCTGGCCCCTCCTCCTCTGCCCTCCTCCTGGCAGTTTTCCTTGGCTTCTTTTGTCCTACTTAAAGTGACTTTTTAGGCCCACCCTCTTCTCAGAATGTTCTAAGATCAATGGGTGCCTAGGAAGAAGCTTTCTTCAAATTTTGCTCAGTTTGAGTCTCTTCCCTGAAGCTAAAAAGAATGTTGATGTTCTGCAGAGAGAAGGAAGACATATGTCCAGTCGTGTTCTCTACAGGAAGTTAGTTTTTCAGGGGGAAGAGTAGGTGTTTTGCAGGGTAGTGGAAATCTTTCATGTGTTTTGGCTTTTCAGCAACTATTAAATACATTTGCTATCTTTGGGGAACTTCTAGCCATTCAGGCTCACTTCCCCAGAAAGAACCCATTAAACTCTCTTCCTATGCTTTCTAGATTCCACCAAGCATATTGATCCAGAAGTAAGCAACTAGAGGAAAAAGGTGCAATGCAGAATCCATTTTTTCTAGGCAGGGCAGTGGCAGAGCAGGCCTCCATCCTTGGTAGACAGCAGAGTTTTCAGGGTCTTGTGTTTGACACAAAAAACAGGATCCCTGGTGGCCCCAGGAAGAGTTGTATTCAGGTGAGTTTCTCAGAGATTTGCAGATTATAGGACCTATTCCTGCTCAGTGGTGGCTGTAGCCATGTCCTCATCAGACCTGTTCTATGTGGGGTTTAAGTTTCTAGAAGCCTATTTCTCTATACTACTGAATAATTCTGGAAGCTACCCAACATCCTTGAATAAACTACTTCATTATCAGCTTCTGTATCTTACAACTAAGAACCTGGGTTCATATACATTGTCAAATACATTTGAGAAAACCAATT